CCGCGCCGCGGAGTTGGGCGTGGATTTGCTGCTCATCAGGCGATTTGTTTTCCAAAAGGGGACTGACCGGGGGGAGGAGGAGGGAGGAGGGGGCGTCTTTTGCAGGGCAGAGCATATCGGTGCACCGCATACAGCATCAGCGGAAGAAGCAAAACTGAAACTTGAAGACTCGACGCTTTGCGGCGCAGAGTTGGTCCTTCCCCGCCCGAATATACCGACCCGTGTTCACGTCACCGACGGAGCCCTGTTTGAACAGGGCGTACAGCTCCAGCAGCTCGTCGTTGCTGGGAGTGGCTTTGAGGTTCTTCACGTCCTCGGCCGCCTTCTGGAAGAGCTGCAACAGACACACAGACGGCCGATTCAGGAAAATGGGACTTCATATATGCTCGTCGCGAGTGTGCCGACTTCATTCACGTCGCATTGTCCCCCACTTGTGCATGGGGGAGTCCCACCCACATCACCGGTCTCGCTAACGTCACGAGGCCTGCGCGCGGTCGCGAAACTGTCCCCGGATTTTTTTTTTCTGGCGCATCCCAACCTTCCCACCCTTCTCATCAATGATGGACGGTGCAAGAGAGCAGGTGTGTAGGTGGAAAGGGAGAGGGGGGGGGGACGTTACGAGCCCAGCCCGAACAGGGCTTGGGTTGACGCGCCTTGACCCGGGCGGTGGTCAAGGACATGCGCCAATCAGCCTGTACAGGCGAGATTTGCATCACCGGGACGACATGCTTCCCGCGATGCAAGAAACACTTCGGCACAGCGCGCAAGCAGCACTGACTGAAAAAAGGAAACTGCTTTCCTCTCTATAAATTGTCGGCTATTTTTTTTTCTTTCGGCGCACGAACGAAACGTGTGAATTGCTGGGCAAGCGTTGAGACGGGAGGGGAGGGTGGTGATGGTTCATGGTAGGAGGCAGGAGGCCGGCACGTAAACTTACCTCTTCGGTAGACATGGTGGTGTTGAAAATGGGTGGTACCTGAACAGAAAAGACAGAAGAGACAACGTTAACAAACATCAAAATCGTGCAGTGTCGTCGCATCCAGCATTCGGTAAATTGACGAAAAAGAGGAACTGTTTAGAGGTCAGGACAGTCTAGTTCATCATCTTACCCTACCGTAACACTACTACCAAGGTCAGGGAAGTGCCGCCGCTGCCTCTCCCACCACGAGA